CCATTATACCGCCGCAGGTGATCCGCTGTCGCACAAGCATTGCGCCGCAGAGCCCCGTCGCCTGCTTGGAGTGCGCTCTTGTCTGCGCCCAGACCAGCAACGCTGCCCTGGAACTGGCCGACGACCTTCCTTTTGCACTCAAAAGAGAAGTTGAACACAAATGGGCTGCCGTCGTCACCGCGCCGGCGCCGCGTGCGCCAGCCGATGCGCAACTCCAACTCGACACGGCCAGGCACGCCAGCAGCGACGCCAACGCCGAATGGGCGGACGCCATCACGCCAGAAATGGTCCAACAACCAGTGCCCACGGCCGCCCATATACCGCCGCACGCTCGCGGGGTGGTGGGCGCCATCATAACGGAGCACACGAAGGCTTTCGCCCGCGAGATCCACCACGGCACCCTGGAGTCCATCACCAAGGCGGCCAAGCGTTGGTTCATGCTCCCTAAGCTGCTGTTCGGGCGCGCCAACCTCCTGGGCGGCAAGAGAGGCAACGCTCAGCTCACCACTACGCTGTTCCGCCGGGCCACTGAGATCAGGGAGCACCGCGAAGCGCAGCTTTGGGGCGCCGTCCTTGATTCCGCCCCACCTCCTTTGCGCGCCAGGCGGAAGACTACCGCAGAGCACGACGTTATGACGGCGCGCAAACTCGTGGAGGCAGGCGCCGTGGGCAAAGCTACGAGAGTCCTCCGCGAAGCACTCGAAATTGCCGGAGACCAGCTGACCCTGCAAGCCGCACCGCAGCTCTTCCCACACCATCAACCACAGCCACCAGCAGCCTACGACGAACAGGGCGACGAGCAGCAGCAGTTCGAGCTACACTTCGCCAAAGCCTTGCGGGCCGCACCAAAACGAAGCGCAGCTGGGCCCGACGGGTGGCGGTGCGAGCACTTCCAACTCGTCCAAACTGACCTGTCCGCTCTGTGTGCCCTGGCCACAGTGGCCGCAGCACTAGCCCGCGGCACCCTCCCGCAGGAAGTGCAGGAACTGGCGACGGCCGCCCGCCTCCTCCCGCTCACCAAGAGCCCCACCCGAATCCGCCCCATCAACCTCGCCAGCCCGCTCCGCCGTCTCGCGTCCAAGGCGGTCAACAAAATGGCGGCGGGCAAGGTCGCCGAGGGGCTTCGCGGCAAGCAGTACGGGTACAAGCACACGGCTGGGGCGGAACTGGTCCACAAGCACGTGTCCACTGCCCTCCACGTCCGCCCGGACTACGCCGTGCTCTCTCTGGACGCTGCAGACGCCTTCCAGAACCTGAGCAGGGTGTACATCAACGAAGGTATCGATACTCACTGCCCAAAACTCCGCCGATGGGCAAGAGGCTTCCTGCCGGACGCCGGGCAGGTAGTCTACCACGACACCGGGGGCAGAAGACACATGGAACCAAACGACGGGGATCTTCCAGGGGTGCGGCATGGCCACCACGCTCTTCTGCCTCGGACTCGACCGCGCCCTCGAGAGGGCCAAACACCAACTCGACGCAGCAGGTATACAGCACGAGCTCTTCGGCTACATCGACGACCTCACCATCCTTGCGAAGCCTGAAGACCTGCCCACCATATACGCAGCATACACCAACGCACTCAGCCAAGCCGGCCTCCAAACACGCGTCGACAAATGTGAGGTGTGGGCGAGGAACCCTGCCGCGATACCAGCGGGCCTACCCGTGCCGCGAGTAGAGCAGCCCATGATCTTACGACAACACGCCGACGACTACTCCGGCCTGGCACCGACGCCGGTAACCGCCGACCAGCACGCCGAGGAGGGCAGCCTGCACTCACCCGCCTCGCCGCGACTACAACGCCAAAGAACCAGGAGGACGACTGCCATGGCCAGACTCATGGACCTTCACAAAGCCGGCCTAGACGTTCAGACGTCTTTGGTACTTCTACGAACCCTCACTGCAGGAGACATGACTTGGCACATGCGCACCACCGGGGTTCCCGCCCAAACGGCGACACAGCTCGACGACGACCTACTCAGCACACTGGAGGAGCTAGTACAAACGCACGACCTCACAGCGGAGCAGAAAGAGAAATACTGGCACCCTGTCGCTTTGGGCGGCTTGGGGTTCCAGAGCGTGAGCGCAGCGCGCCTGGATGCCCAAGCGGCCTCGTGGGCGCTCTGCGAGAAGCCAGTGCTCCAGCGACTGGGCCTCCGCGACAGAGATGACCTTCTCCACTACTGCCCGGGCTTGAGGCCGGCGCTCCACCGCCTCCAGAGCACTGTCAACGCGCTGACTCAGGAAGAGGCAGCGCAGCAGGCGCCCGACACGGAGCCGCCCGACACCACCCAGCGGCGCTTTACCAGGCACAGGCGGCACGCAGAGTGGACGCAGTGGCTGCGACGCACCCAGACGGAACCGCATCAACGGGCCTGGGCTCTTAGCGCGACAGGCAAGGGGGCAGGCGCGTGGCTCGGGCCGCCCACGCGGCCCGACCACCACCTCGCTGACGCCCACTTCAGGATGGCCGTGAGACACAGACTCGGAGGTCTCGTACGCGCAGCTGACGGCCCCTGCCCCTTCAGAAAGGAGGACGGAACCCTCTGCGCCGGCACCGTCGACACTAACGGACGCCGCGCGCTTTGCTGCTCCTATGGCGGCTTCATGGTTAAGACAAGAGGCACAACAACCTGCGCGACACCATCGCGCGAGCCCTACGTGAAGCCGGCATTTGCGACATCGCAGTCGAGCCGTGGATTCGCCCGCCCACCGGGCCGGGCAATCCGGGTCTCCGCGCGGACCTCAGGTGCACCGACAGTGACGGCCAGTGGGCTTATCTGGACTTAACGATCGTGCATCCCGCCTCGCAGCAGAGCCTGCAGGCCGGCGGGGCCCACACCCAAGGCACCGCTGCGAGACTGGCCGAACAGGCCAAGCGCCGCAAATACAACGGAGTCGCTGGTTTCCAACCCCTCGGCTTCGAAGTGTCGGGAGCCATGGGCGAGTCCACCCGGAAATGGCTCGCGCAGCAAGTGCCTGAGGGCCCTGGGCGACTGGAGACTCTCAGCACTCTCCACCGGTCCATCGCCACCTGCGTGGTCCGGGAAGTGGCGCGCACGCTCATCAGCGCTGCCTGAGATGGTCGTCGGGCCAGCCAGCGCGCCTAACGCAGGGGTCTGGTGGCTCACACCCCTGGGCCTGGAACCGGCGGCCTAGCACGACGACGGCACCAGCGCGTGAACAGCGCTGCTGCGCGAGGACGCACGAGGACAGCACTAGGACAGCACGAGGACAGCACAGGCGCGAGGACAGCACGAGGACAGCACGAGGACAACACTAGCACGAGGAGGGGAAGGGGCGCCGAGGAGGCGCGCCGAGGAGGAGAGGCAAGGCCGAGGAGGAGGAACGCCGAGGAGGAGCGCCGAGGAGGAGCGGCGGAAGCAGGTGGGCAGCAGCAGCGGCGCTAGGCGGCCGCGGGCGCCCGGCCCGCCGCGGCGGCGGGCGCGGGCGCGGGCGCGCGCGGCGCGGCCCGCGGTGCGTCACCCGCTCGCGGTCCGCCGCCCCGGGGCCCTCCGCGGACCCGAGGGCCCTGGGGCACCGAGGGAGGAGGAGGAGGAGGCGGGGAGGAGGAGGAGGAGGGAGGAGGAGGAGGAGGAGGAGGAGGAGGGGAGGGAGGGAGGGAGGGAGGGAGGGATGGCGGGAGGGAGGAGGGAGGGAGAGAGGAGGGGGACGGGGGAGGAGGAGCAGGAGGAGGATGAGGAGGAAGAGGAGGAAGAGGAGGAGGAGGAGGAGAAGCAGGAGGAGGAGAAGGAGGAGGGGGGGAATATGAGGAGTTGGTTTACTGGTGTGTTGGTAGAGAAGTGCATGAAGGTGGAGGCACGTTTGGGCCCCTCCCTGCAGCCGTCTTCGTTGGCCGAGGGGCTGCAGGGAGGTCCTCGGCCCCCCCCCATTGGCTATTGACGCCGTAAAGTATTGGTGTAATGGTGTATTGGTGGGAGAGGGCGACCCCCGCGGCCCCCATGATGGCAGCCGCAGGGGGTGTGAGGCCTATGACGGTCCTCACTGGCGAGGCCTATGATGGTCCTCACCGGGGTGGGGGTGGGGGAAGCGGGCAGAAAGTTGAAGCGGATGTCCGGCAGCAACGTCCTGGGGGGATACCTGAAAAGGGGACTTAAGAACAACGTCTGTCCTCCGCCTATGTTCCAGGAGGAGCCCCGTTCAAAAGGCAGAGGCAGAGAGAGAGGGAGAGAAGAGAGAGAGGGAGAGAGAGGGAGAGAGGGAGAGAAAGAGAGAGAGAGAGAGAGAGAGAGCGAGGCAGAGACGAGGACAAATGTGCACGCCTCGGGGGGGGTCGGCCCCCGGACCCAGAAGATACGAAATACACAGATTTCGTATCACAAGGTAGCTGGCAGCGAAGCTGCATCATGGCACCCTGGGAGCGCGCAGCGGCAGGGATGCACCACCTGGAGTGCGAAAGCGACACGTGGTGACGTCAACCCGGCCGAAGCCCAGTGACCAGAGGAGGCCCCCAGAGGCCGACAAGGGTCACAGGCCAGAGGTATCCACGACCTGTACCCCCCCCCGCGGGCGCGATTTATTTTCTCCGCCAGCACGGAGGGACCGGTACACCCAACGGCACGGAGATCCGACAGCGGATAGGCCGGTGCACCCAAAAAAACATGGATGGATCGGTACACCCAAAGGCACTGATTGGCTTTATCCCATGGGGTGGAATACCCGCAGGGGCTTACACCCGTAACCCACGACACACACACACACACGGCACACACACACACACACACGCACACACACACACACACACGCACACACACACACACACACACGCACACGCACACACGCGCGCGTCCGTAGCCATTTTGGCTCAAGGCAATGCGATTCCCGACGACCGCGAGTCCGAGAGGGCGGCTTGAGCGCGAGGGGTCGCGCTTTGAGCCAAAACTCATCGCACTCCAAGTTTCTCTCGCGGCCTGCGTGGCCATCAGTTTTGCGCCCGCCTGGGCGGCCCCGTTGCACAGTACCAGAGTATTGTCAGAGCAATGGTGCCCGGAGCGGGTGGCGGTGGAGCAGCTGACAGAGGACGGGCTGCGCGACGCACCAAATGGATGTGCAAGTGGTGCGTGGGCCCGAACAAGCAGAAGTACGTCAACTTCGCGGACCGCCTCACGTGCCGCTCCTGCCACATGCCCAAGTCGGTGGCCTTCTGCGGCAAGGTCGTGGACGGCCAGCCCTCGAAACACGCCTCTGGCGGCAACGGGGGCGGCAGCGGAGGAGGAGGGAAGGGCACAGGAGATGGGATGGCCGCCAAGATCGCGGCCCTCCAAAAGGAGCTGGCGATCGCCAACACCAAGCTCAAGGCCAAGGGCGAGGCGATGGGTGGCGCAGACCAGTCCGGCGAGGCTGAGGGGCACGCTGAGGAGCAGGTCCGGGTCAAGCGCCTGGCGCTCCTGGACCAACGCCTTCGTACCATGGAGGCGCTGGATGACGATGACGACGACGCCAAGAAGCTCTGCCAGAAGTACAAGACCGAGCGGGGGCGGCTGCGCCAGGAGCAGATCAACGCCAAGCCGCTCAGGGTCCGCCTCCGCACGGCAGGCGACAAGGAGGCCAAGCTGGAGAGCAGCATCGCGAAGGCTAAGGGCCACATTGAGGAGCTGCGCAGCCAGGCCCAGCAGTTGCTCGACGAGGCCACCAAGCAGGAGAAGGCTGTGGAGGACCAGTCTCGCGAGCTGGTGGAGCTCCAGCTGCAGCGGCGCCGACTCCTGGAGGCGGCTCCTGGGCCGCCCGAGGCGCCTGCTGACAGACGCGCCCCCAGCGTCGAGGAGTCCACCAGGCAGCTGGAGGCCCTCATGCAGGCTTTGGGGGTCGACGGCACGTTGCGCGCGCAGGCGCAGCAGATGGTCCAAGGCCTGCGCCAGGCGGAGCAGGAGGCCCGCGAGCGGCAGCGCCGGCAGGCTGCCGAGGCCGCACCGGAGCCCGGCGCGGCAGCACGACCAGCCCCTGGTGGGCAGCAGGCCGCACAGGAGCTCCCAGTCCCTATGGGGGACGACGGCCTGGACTTGGATGCGCAAGGTCTGGAGGAGCTTCGCGCCTTCCTGGAAAAGTCGGGCCACGCCGTGCCACAAGCGGAGGAGGAGGTCCGAGCGGCAGCCAAGCGGGCCATGGAGGTTGCTTTGGAGACCGCCCGCGAGTTCAAGAGGCCGCGCCCTGCGCCTCCGGCCGCGGGTGCCGCTGGCGATCAGAAGTGACCTCCCCGTCATGATGACGTTCACGGAGCTCACCACGGTGAACGCCAGCAGTCATAGGCCGCTGCTGGAGCACCTCACCACTTGTAGGCCTACGCAGATCATCGGGGTCCAAGAGCACCACGTGATCGAGCCCAAGTTGGGCGAGACTCAGGCCTCTGCCAAGGACCTGGGCTGGAAGGGGGTCTGGGCCCCCGCGGTCGCCACAGGTGCGGCCAACGGCAGTGTGGGAGGAGTCGCGGTGTTGGCACCATCGCATGTCCTCATCACCCACCCCCCTGGACTCGCCACTCCTACTCTTGAGCCAGGCCGAGCGGTGGCGGCGCACGTGCACACGGCGCACAAGGGCGGGTTTATCTGCGTGGCAGTCTACCTGCGCACGCTCGAGGGCCTCTCCCCGGAGAACTTGGGAATCCTCTGGAAGGTGACCAAGTACCTCAAGGCGGTCAATGACATGGGGCTCGACTGGGTGGTGCTGGGTGACTTCCAGATGGCCCCGGAGGTGCTGCTCGGGCAGGGGTGGTTACGCCTCGTCGGAGGCCAATGCATCGCGCCCACGGCTGCCACGTGCCACGTCGCCAAGCCAGGGTCGACCATCGACTTCTTCTTGGTTTCACGCCACCTCGTGCCCAGGCTCCCTGACCTTCCAGATGTGGACAACTCCACCAAGCTGTGGCCACACGCGCCGGTGACATTGGCCCTGCGACATCCGCAGCTCCAGCAGGAGGCGTGGGTTCGACAGCTGGTTCAGCCCAGGCAGCTGCCAGTGGTGCCCCCGGTGGGGTGCGCGCGATTTCCGTGGGCCTCCTGGACAGAGGTCCTCCGGTCGGTGGCGCATGCGGAAGCGGCTGACCAGCTGGCGGTAGCATGGGACCTGGTGCTGCGTGGCATCACCCACGAGCTCCTGGACAGGCACGACATCGTGGATCCGCGAGAACAGACTCCCTATCACCAGTGGGAGGGCCCGCCACAGTACCAGTGGCACAAGCTGCAGTGGGAGCCACGACGACGACGGCCGCGGCATGGGGCCAAGGTCACAGCTTGGGTTACTGCTGCCCGCTGGTCCAATCACCTGGCCGCGGTCCACAAGTACCTGATGACAACTACGCAGCGGCTGCAGGCACTCTCCGAGCCCAGCGCCAGCTCGCAGTGCCAGGGCCCTCAGACCGCGCATGCCCCAGCGCATAGGACGAAGCAGCTGGCCTTGCAGGAGAAGCTGCTCAAGGGCTTGGCCACTGCGTTGTACCAGCTCGACGGCTACGTAAGCAAGATCCGGCAGTCCACCGCGGTCCTCCGCCAGCTCGACGACAACTATCGACAGTTCCTCGAGCTGGGGCTGGACATGTTCGCACAGCCCGGTTGCCACACCCTCTGGGAGGAGATCGGTGCACGCGGCGCCCAGCAGCAGAAGGCAGCGGAACTCCAGTCCCAGAAGTCGCGGCAGTCCTGGGCTAAGGATGCGTTTCTGGGCGGGGCAGGCCTCGCGCATCGCACCAGCAAGGTGCGAGCGCAGGAGGAGGTCGCCCCCAATGCCGGCCTGGCGGGGCAACCCTTCGAGGTCGCCGACGCGGAGATGGCAAAGTGGCAGGAAATCTGGGACACCAACCAGTTGGCCCCTCTCGAGCGCCCCACGCAGTACGATGCCTGGGAGCCGCTGCCCGCCATCACCGTGGAGCACCTCCGCGGCGCAATTCGCAGCTTCAAGGCGAGCACGGCCCGCGGGCCTTCGAGGCTGGCGCCCCGGTCGCTGGGCCAGCTCTCGGACGAGGCCCTTGTCGTCTTGGGCATCCTCTTCGAACGCTGCGAGGCCCTGGGTGTCTGGCCTGAGCGACGCTTGGTGTGTGAGCTTGTCAGGTTGCCCAAAGACGGAGGTGGCGCCAGGTTGATCGGCCTCCCCCACTCCCTCGTGCGCGTGTGGTCTCGGGCTCGCCGCCCTGTGTCCAAGCAGTGGGAAGCCCGTGCGCAATGCCAGCAGATCTGGGGGCTAGGATCGGGGCGGAGCGCCAGTGACTGCGCATTTGACCACAACATCGCCTCCGAGATCGCGCGATCCCGGGGCCGCGCTTCCATCACTGTCATCATCGACCTCTGGAAGTGCTTCGAGACGATCGACCCCGCCATCGTATTGCGCGAGGCGCACCTCGTTGGGTACCCCAAGAGGCTCATGTGGATGCTCCTGCAGGTCTACGCCTCCCCCCGCATCTTGCGGGCGTTTGACAGCGTGTCCCATGAGGTCGTCAGCTTCCAGGGGACCATCGCGGGCTGCTCGCACGCCACCACGGTCCTCAGCGTCCTCATCACCCGAGCGCTGCGCAGGGCGGCTCAACAGGATGCTTGCACCATCTTGCGATCGCTAGTGGACGATGTGACGTTGCAGTGGACAGGGCAGCCAGGCCCGGGCGTCCGCGCCCTGGCCCGGACCACGGCGAGTTTCCTCAAGGACTTGGAGGCCCTTCACCTCCACGTGCAGCAGTCCAAGTTGGGCTTCGTGGCCACCGAGCGCAAGGTTGCGCAGATCTTCCGAGGAGCGACGCGGGCACTCCGCATCCCCAGGAAGGCGTGGGCTCGCAACCTCGGCCATGAGGTATTCGGCACCCGCCCCCTCCGCACGCAGGAGCGGAGGCGACTGCGGGCCCTCCACGCGCGCAGGCGGCGGCTCGCCATGCTGCGCCAGGCTGCTGGGCGGCGTGCGGCGCGTCTCCAGACCACTGGGCTTACCCCTGCTGTGGGGCATGGCGCTGGCGTCAGCGGCGTCGCCGAGGGCAGGCTGAAGGTGCTCCGCACGGCGGCGGGCGCGCTGGCAGGGCATCGCCCGTTCTCCAGTCTCACCGGCACGCTGATGACGCAGACTTCGGCCAGATACGACCCCTTGTTCGCCATCACCACGGAGCTCGTGGTCCGATATGCAGGCTGGTGGTGGGAGGGCCGGGCCAGCGCATCCGATATGCAGTGCGCTTGGAGCCGCGCCCACGCCGAGTTGCAGCAGGACCCCTCCTGGGCGCGCGTGCGGGGGCCCATTGCCGCGGTGTACCTGACCCTCCAGCGGATCAACTGGACGATGCAGGCTGCGCACTTGCTCGTCGACGACATAGGTTGCTCGTTCTCCCTCCTGGACACGGCCCCGAGGGACATCCAAGATGCCCTCCGCCAGAGCATCCAACGCTGGCAGCGCGGGCAGCTGACCCAGACCCTGCCAGAGGCGAACGGTGAGCTGCTCAGGCCGCGGGTTATCGACGCGTGCCTCCGGGGCCCGCGCGGGGTCAAGGGGCCGAAGGCACAGGGCGCTCTGCAGTGCCTCTGGGCAGGAGGTATGTGGCCGCGGGCCCGGAAGTTTGCCTTTGGCCTGGCGCCCACGTGCATCTGCCAGGCGCGCGGGCAATGTCCTGAAACACTTGGCCATCGCTGGTACGCTTGTTGTGGCCTGGAGCGCACCGTCGACGAGGAGGAGGAGGCTATCCCCGAGAAGTTGGCGGCTATTCGCGCCAGCGTAATCAAGCACGCGGGCACGGGGCTGAGCCAGGACCACTGGGACTCGCTGCCGCTGGCGCACGGCCTCCCCATCTTGCCTCGCGCCGACGAGCTGCCTGCGATGCCTCGCGGCGGCACGTCTTTCGAGTGCATCTACAAGGACGGCTCGGCCTGGGCTAACGATGTCGAGGAGGTGCGGCAATGCGGGTGGGCGATCGTGTGCATCGACGCCCAGGGCTGGCCCGTGCGGGCCCGTTTCGGGAGCCTTCCGGGGCGGTGGCAGACCACGGGACGGGCAGAGCGGCACGCTGGCCTGCAAGCTCTGCGCGCCAATCCCAACCTCACCTTGCTCGTCACTGACTTGCAGGGCTTCGCCGATGAGGGCAACGCGTGGGACCCCCAGGCCGCGGGCTCCAGCGGCCGTCATGCTAAGCTTTGGAGGGATATCTTCAACGTGGTCCAGGCTCGAAGGCCGCCTGCCTTTCTCTGGTGCCCTGCGCGCAAGACGGTGGAGGATCTGATGGGGCGCGCCGACATCGACCCGATGCACTGGATACGCAATCGTTGGGCCGATTGGTTCGCGCAGCTGGGCGTCAGCTCGGTCGCCATCTCCCCGGACTTCGCAAAGACGCTCCAGCGCCGCATGGAAGACGCGATCAACATGGCGAAGTTCATGGCTTGGGGAGTCTGCCGCATTTCTGAGACCCAGGCGTGGGAACCTCAGGAGCACGAGCCGAAGCTGCCGCCTCGTGTCAAGGCGGCCCGAACTCCGCAAATTATCATCATCCAACACGACTACGTGGAGGAGAACGGCACCATCCGCTGCATGCGGTGCAATTGCACGGCAGCGACCTACGAGAGCAAACGCCGGCTCGACTGCCAGCCCTGCAGGGCCACGGCGCTCTCCCGGTTGCAGGCGGCTGCAGCAAGCAGGGTCAGCGGGAGCACGACGCCCTCTCATTGTTTCGGCGACCAGGCCGAGGGCGATGACCAGCGAGAGGCCCAGCAGCGCAAGGTGAAGTACCTATTGGAGGCCGCTCAGGGACCTGGCATGGCGCCCACGGTGGACGCCCCCGCTCCGCTGTCGGGCGGGGGTGACGGGTGGCTCGCGCCGGGTACGCTCGCCCTGGAGGCGCCGCCGCAGGATGTTGCCCAGGCCAGTGCCGGGCTGATTGAGGAGCTTGCGGACGACGAGCTGATGCTCGTGGAGGCGGCAGGCCCCGTAACGGTCTGGACGTCCGGACTGGTGCCTGCAGAGGCGGAGCCCGAGGCGCTCCCCGAGGCGGAGCAGGCTATGGCGTCCGCGGCGCGCCCCCGTGCAGCGCCGGCTGGAGGTGATGCTGATGGCGTGGCTGGCAGGGGCAACGCCAGCCGGGGAGACGATGATGCTGCAGACGTCAGCGCCGGCCGCGGCATGGAGGTGCCAGCACTGGCCGGGGCGCTGGCTGCCGGGGCCGCCGTGGCTGCGGCTGGGCAGGCGTCGGCTGCCGCTGCTCCGCCAGCAGCGGCTAGGCCGCGTCGCGTCGGCAGGAAAAGGGCACCAGATGATGCTGACGGAGCTGCTGGAAAGCCCCCAAGCCAGCGGGCCAAGGTGCGAGGCGACGCCGCCGCCTCCCGGGAGCTCCCGCGCCTCAGAGGAGCGGCCGCGGCGCACCAGCCTGGGGAGCTGCCGGCCGAGGATGGCGCTGACGAGAGCGAGAGGCGGAAGGTCGTGGCGCCTGCTCGTCCATCCTCCTCCGACTCCTCCCGCAGCCTCGCGGGGTGCGACCTCCGGCAGGCGGCGTCCGAGGTGAACGAGGCGCCACTTAGAGCCTTGCAGCGTCGTGCGCGCATGGTGCCGCCGTCGAGGGAAAAGAGCTATTCTGTTTCCCCTCCTCTAGCGCCGCCGCCCGCTGCTGCTTCAGTCGAGGGAGGGGGGGCGGTGAGTGTGGGGGAGGGTGGTGCTGGACGAGGCCCGGAGCAGCCTCCGGCAGGTCTTCCTGCAGACCCCAGCCCCGTGGCGGATAACGCCCATGAGCTGGTCTTGCGTAGCCCGTTTGTGCTGTGCAGGCGGTGCGGGGCGTACGTCTCCGCAGAGAGGGGTGCCAAGAGGCTGAAGGACTTGTGCCCGGGCCCCCTCCCGCCTCTCGACAGGTGTAGCCCTGCGGAGCGCGAGCGGCGCAGACGCCGCGAGAAGCTCCTGCAAGGCCTCCATCCCACCTCGGGTGCGAGCCTGGGGGCTTAGCCTGCTAGTCGGCGCGGGTCTGACTAGCTGTTGGGGGCCTCGGTGGCCCGCTGGCCGGACGGCTAGCTCAGTTTACGGCTCACGGTCTGTTGTTTCTGCGGAGCTTCAGGACGTGGCGCGCCAGGGGGATCGGCACACGCACACACGCGACCGCGCACCCCGGGGGAACACGACGGAAAAGACACAGCAAGAAGAGGACGCCGCGAACCCCGGGGCTGCGGCCAAAAGTCCTGACAGCGGCACCTGAAACGGGATACCTGAAAGAGGGAAGCGGCCTGACCGGGGGACCTGAAGCCGAAGGAAAGCGACAGGGGGGGACGATCCAAGGCGGCCCCTTCGCAGCTCTCGGCGAGGGCCGCTGCTCCGGACGTGTAGATTGGACGGCGGCTAAACCCATCCATGAAGAAAGGCGGGGGGGGGGGGAAGAGGAGGAGGAGGAGGAGGAGGAGGAGGAGGAGGAGGAGGAGGAGGAGGGGAGTAGGCCCAGCCACACACCTGCGCCCCAAGTGGCAGACGGAGGTGGCTGGGAGGGTTTTACATGCCCGTCCTTGGAAAGCTCGGCTTAAGGGCGGGGAGCGGGAACGACCTCATGAGTGGCGCCGCGGCGGCACATGTGACGCCGCGGCGGCACGGGTCGAACCGTCACCCTTGGTGCACTGGCGCACTGGGTTGGCAACTGACGCCGCAGAGTAGTAGATTACTGACATTGACTGGCACCGTCAGCCGGCAGGGGATAGATCCCGTGCACGGCCCCATGGAGGAATATGAGGAGTTGGTTTACTGGTGTGTTGGTAGATTGGTGCATGAAGGTGGAGGTACGTTTGGGCCCCTCCCTGCAGCCGTCTTCGTTGGCCGAGGGGCTGCAGGGAGGTCCTCGGCCCCCTCCATTGGCCATTGACGCCGTAAAGTATTGGTGTAATGGTGTATTGGTGGGAGAGGGCGACCCCCGCGGCCCCAATGATGGCAGCCGCAGGGGGTGTGAGGCCTATGATGGTCCTCACTGGTGAGGCCTATGATGGTCCTCACCGGGGTGGGGGTGGGGGAAGCGGGCAGAAAGTCGAAGCGGATGTCTGGCAGCAACGTCCTGGGGGGATACCTGAAACGGGGACTTAAGAACAACGTCTGTCCTCCGCCTATGTTCCAGAGGAGCCCCGTTCAAAAGGCAGAGGCAGAGAGAGAGAGGGAGAGGAGAGAGAGAGGGAGAGAGAGGGAGAGAGGGAGAGAAAAAGAGAGAAAGAGAGAGAGCGAGGCAGAGACGAGGACAAATGTGCACGCCTCGGGGGGGGTCGGCCCCCGGACCCGGAAGATACGAAATACACAGATTTCGTATCACAAGGCAGCTGGCAGCGAAGCTGCATCATGGCACCCTGGGAGCGCGCAGCGGCAGGGATGCACCACCCGGAGTGCGAAAGCGACACGCGGTGACGTCCACCCGGCCGAAGCCCAGTGACCAGAGGAGAGGCCCCAGAGGCCGACAAGGGCCACAGGCCAGAGGCATCCACGACCTGGGGCGGGGGGGAGGAAGGCGGGGGGGAGAAAGGGTACACCCTGCGAAATGCTTAAGAAATCATGGGTTAAGAAATTCATAGTCTCAGAACTTGAATAAAACCCAGAATTCCCATTCAAACATTAGGATTTACATTGAAACATTAAGAATCATGGAGACTCTGGTCGAAAATTTAAGTTTTCTTAAGCATCGCCTAAGGTGTACTGATACCACTGCGCGTCCCTCGTTTCTGCGGGTGGATTCGCCTCGACATCCTTGTCAGACCGCACCCCGGGCGAGATCTGGGAAGTGACTTTATCGGCACCTTTTTCCCCCAATTGCCTCCTGTTGTCCCGTGGTCTCCCATGGTCCACCGTTGTCTCGTGTTGTATCCCTTTGTCTCACATGTTCTCCCGTTGTCTGTCTGCGTCGCTCTGGGAGCCTTCGTCTATGCCCCTGTCTATCCCTCCGCCGCAGTGTAAAGCTGGCTCGGGTATTTTCCCGCAGTGTACTGTTTCCCGACTGAGGGGATGGACACGCAGCAGAGCCTTCGCAGAGCTATCCCGACTGCGGGGATGGGCACGCAGCGCCGTAGCGCTCCGTTGGCGACGTCGAGGAACCCGTCTGCAAGCGCAGACCGCGGCGCGATGACCGGAACGGAAAGGGGGGAGGGTGAGGAGAGGAAGAGGGGGGAGGAGGGGAAGACGGGAAAGGGAAGGAGGAAAAGTGGAAGCGGGAGGGGAAAGAGGGAGGAGGCAAGCTAGGTGCGCTCGGGTCATATCTGACGTCCTAACCCTCCCTCCCATCCCTTATCATGGCGTAGATCTCCTCTCTATTCGCACAGTCGGATGCCGAGCAGGGCAATGATTCCGAGAGGGTGTGCGATGCATCGTAGAGCACGGCATAGCAGGGCGTAGAAGAGCACGGCAGAGCGTAGTGTGTCATAGTATGGCGTGGCGTTCGCAATGAAGAATTGCATCGCAAAGCCAACGCAAATAGTGGCATCGCACAGCGGCACATAACAGAGCATGGCATAGCATGGCGTTGAAGATCAAAGCGTAGCATGGCATAGCATGGCGTGGCACTGCGTAGTCAAGCACTGTGTAGCCTGGCATTGTAGCTGACGGTATGGCATCGCACAGCGGAACACCACATAGCATTGAGTTGCATGCCGTGGCATGGCACTGGAGATATCTGGAAATAATGACGCCAACGCTGCAGCACGATTCGGAACGAGCGGAAGCGCGGAAATGAGGCCAACGCTGCAGCGGGAGCACGATTCGGAATGAGCGGCAGCGTGGAAATGAGGCCAGTGCTGCGGCGGGAGCACGAGTCGGAACGAGCGGAAGCCCGAAAATGAGGCCAGCGCTTGAACAAGAGCAACATTTTGAAAAAAAACGACAAACCAACTCCTTGGAATCCTGTTTGAACAGAAAACAATACGTGGCGGGGGGCCGAATATCTTCCAGAAGTCATCAGGGGAGAGAGTACAGTAGTATTCATACTGTGTAATTGTTGGAGAAGGGGAACGGGGGAGGGGGACGAGGGGAAGGGCGGAAGGGGGAAGAGGAGAAGGGGAATGGGGGAGGAGGGGGGGAAGAAAGAGAGGGGGGAGGGGAGGAAGAAGGGGGGGGGGGAGGGGGATGGGGGGGAAGGGGGAGGGGGAAGGGGGGAAGGGGAGGGGGGGAAGGAGGGGGAAGGGGGTTGGGGAGGAGGCAAGCCAGGTGCGCTAGCGTCATATCTGACGTCATACCCCTCCCTCCCATCCTTTACAATGGCGCAGATCTCCTACGTATTTATTTGCACAGTCGGATCGACCAGGGCAATGATCCCAAAAGGGTACGCGATGGATGGAAAAGCATGGCGTAGAAGAGCAGGGCAGAGCCTGGCGTGTCAGAGCATGGCGTGGCCGTGCGTAGTGAAGCATTGCATCACAAAGCATAGGAGCGCAAAGCATTGCATCGCACAGCGGCGGTACACAACACAACATCGCATTGCATGCCGTGGCATGAGATGACTTGAAGGGTAAGTGGCCAGACTACGAGAGGACAAGGCCTCTTCAGAATGCCGGCGCCATGTCCTCCGCAACCGTGCCTGCCCGATTTGGGCGCTTTCGAATGCCAAGTGCCGTCAGGAGGCGCGGGAACGAGGTCAGCGCTGCAGCGGGAGCACGACTTTGGATGACCGAAGCGCGGAAATGAGGGCGGCGCTGCAGCGGGAGCACCACTTTGGAAGAACCAGAAACGACCGGGTTGGAACAAAAACACATAGGAAAAACCGAATCATGCAATCTTGTGTAAAAAACACTGCGCGGAGAGGACGGGACACTCTCTGGACAACGTCAGGGGAGAGAGGAGAGTAGTGCTCATATTGTGTACTTGTGGAAGGCGGGGGAGGAGGAGGCCTTGACTTGGTTGCCTTGGGGGGCGGGGGGCTGGCGGACCTCTGGGCGCGGGCGCCTTGGGCGCCCCAGGGGGGGCCGCCGCCGCCCAGGCGGTCCCAGAGGGTCCTGGCGCCTCTGTTCCACCAGCCGGAGAACACAGGAGCTCTGGATACGCCTGGGGTTAGGTCGGGCGTGTCCCCCCCCACCCCCTACAGGCGGATTTTGGGCGAAACATTCAAAAGCCAAAACATCCTCCCAAATAGTCAAAGACTGATCCAAAAAGAATCCCCTGACTATTGTTTGACTATTTTTGTATATGCCTCCTGCAGAGGGACAGGCCCGACTTAAGCCTGGGGGCACACTGCATTTCGCCTCGTCCCGATCCGTCTGGCCCCAGGCTGCCTGTCGCATGTCGATTTCGGCGCACCCCTCACCCGCTTCGGCCCCCTTGGGAAGCTCCACCGAGCTGTGTACATGCGTACCCCTGCCTATTTCTGAGAACCCCGCACAAGTTTCGGTTCCCTCGGGAAGCTCCACTAAACAGCGCGCATGCGTATCCCAATCAATCCTGGCGCACCCATCACAAGTGTCGGCCCTTCTCGGAAGCTCCACCAAAGGGTGTGCATGGGAACCCCTGCCCATTTTGGCGCACCCTCGTAGGTTTCCTGCCCGTCAGGGACCTCCACCTACGGTCCCGGTGAGGGGGGTGCATGCGTACCCCTCCCCACTTCAGCGCAACATCACAAGCTTCGGTCCTCTTAGGAAATTCCACCATAGGGGTGTGCATGGGTACCCCTGCCCATTCCGGCGCACCAAACCACACATCTTGGTTCCTCAAAACAAACTCCACTAAAAGGTATGCATGCGTAATCCTGCCTATTCCGGCACATCCATCACACATGTCGTGCCCCTTGTCCAGCTGTGTACGCATCCAGTGGTATGCATGCGTAGCCCCGCAAATGTCGGCGCGCCCCTCACACGTTTCGCGCCCCTCCGAGAGCTCCATATACGGCCTCAATGGTAGAATTTGCATGCGTACTCCCGCCAATGTCGACGCACCCCTCACACGTCTCGTGCCCATAAGGGAGCTCCACCTACGGCCCCAGTAGGAGGGTTTGCATGCGCGCCTCCGCCCATTTCGGGATTTCGGGGCGTACCCCTCGCAAGGTTCGGCCCCCTCAGGGAGCTTCACTTGTGTTCCCGGTGGGACAATCTGTGTGCACACCCTCGCAAAACGCTGTGCACCCCTCTCAAGTTCCGTTCCCCTTAGGGAGCTTCACCTGTGGAAACAATGGAAGGATGCGCGTGTGTAGCCCCCGACCGTTTCGGCGCACTTCCAACACGGATCGCTGTCTTTAAGGAGCTCCATCTACGGCCTCAATGGGAAGGTTCGGGTGAATCTTCCCGTCCATTTCGGCGCACACCTCACACGGATCGTGCCCCACGTGGAGCGCCCCCCCCCCCCTCCCCGCGAATTTCGACACACCCTCACACGGATCGTGCCTGATGGGGAGCTCCACCTACGGCCCCAGAGGCAGGGTTCGCATGCGCCCCCCCGCTAACTAGTTTCGGCACACCCCTCAACTCCACCTACAGATCCAGCGAGGGCGTTCCTATGCGCTCCCATCGGCCAGGGCGGCACATCCCTCACACGGATCGTGCACAGACACTTTCATCACACTAAGGTTTCATGGAGCTGGGAAAGAGTTGGATACGTCGTCAGGCTAAATGAACCTGACTCGTGCTTTGAAGGTCCCAGGGCCGCGAGTCGAAACATTCCCCATCATTCGCTCTCTCCCGCTGGATCTGGCGCAGTCCTGGTTTGCAGAATCGTGGTTTCTGGGGCCCTGCTGCAAGACGAAAGCAGGACGAGGATACATCTGCATGGGAACACCATGCTCCGAGAGCCAGCGGGTCAGGACGTATCAGGCGCCGCGGCCGTCCCAGAGCACTCCGGGAACGCTGAGAGCGTTCAGGAACGCTCTGGGAATGCGTATACCCTCATCCCAGGCCTGCCCGCAGGGCGTCTCTTTCCCAGCGCAGGTGGCCCGATTCCACAGACCCCGAATTCAAAAATGTTGGCGCCTCACCCTTCGGGAACGGCGAGAAAGTCTGGCTCAAGAAAGGTGAATTCGACGGCTGCTGGAGTGTCTCAGGTCGGGCTTGGAGGGGGCCTCAGGTTTACAGTCGGACCTAGGACAGAAGAACATCCCTCAAGAACATGGGACACTCAGCCGGCCAAAACACACAGAGCAGCCAAGGCTACGCTCCCCAGGATGCACAAGAACATCCAACAAGCACAAAGAAAACTAGGGTACCCTCTCCGAACCGACCTCGATCTTGTACCTCGGTCCGACCGTGGCGAAACCCACCTTGTCCAACGAACCCTTCCGCCAGACGTTCGCTGGCTGACCCGCTGCCACTTTCTTTACTGTCGCCACCTCCTGCTGGCCTTCCGCCGGCCTGCGCCGAAGACGAGGCGCGCCGAAGACGAGGCCCTTTCTCTGGAACGCCCTGTCCATCAAGGAGCTGGTCTTGGGCGTTGCCCACTTCGGGGGGCGGGGGGGGGGACAATGCACGGGGAGGGGGGGGGAGGATAGGTGCTGCCCCTTTGGGCGAGGGGGAGGGCAAGGAGGGGAGGGTGAGGAGGGAGAGCGAGGAGGAGGGCGAGGAGGGGAGGGACAACGATGCCCAGCCGAGAGCTCGGGGGGGGTCCCATCATTCTGCGGGTATACGGGGGAGGGGGTCCCTTCCCCTTTGGTGATGGGGTCTTCAATGATGGGCCCCCCAAAGAGATCCCGAAGACCCCGAGGGGACCCCAGAGGGTCTTGATGATAAGCCCCCCAAGGGGACCCCATCATTGAAGACCCTCTGGGGCCTTCCGAGGGGTGGCCCCCGAGGGGGGGCCCTGTGGGTCTCCTTCCCTGCGACCCTCGACCTCTTCGGAGCGCTCGCGGGGGCCTCTGGGGTCTGCACCTCTTCGCACGGTGGATCTGGAGTCAGGGCTTCCCTCCCTCCCGCGGGAATCTCCCAATAGGCCCCCAAGAGGCTCCCAAGCGGCCCCCAAACTACCCCAAGAGACCCCCGAGAGCGCTCCGAGACCCCAAGAAGCACCTCCTCGCCCCCCCTCTCTGCGAAAGGCCCGCTGGTCTGCAGAGCCCTTCGTCAGACAAGCGCGCTCCACTACTCGCACAGCAACTGCTCGCAAATGGCCTGGACCAGACGCGGGGGGCCTACGATCCACTACAACGAGGCGGACAGGCTTCTTCGTCGGACGTTTGCGAGTAGGCACTTTGCGAGCAGTAGTGGAACGCGCTCGGTGATTCGTGGGCGAAAACACACATCCGCATCCGCGGCCTCGCGGGCCGCGGCCCAGGGCGTTTTTTTCGCGGAAAAGCCCCGCTCGGAACGTAATTATCAGTGCGACCGCGTCTCCGGGGGCGTGAGGCGGGGGGTTGGGGGGGCAGGGCGAGGGCGACGGCGACGGGCGGTGGGGCGACGGGAAGGGGGGGACACCGAGGGGGGGACGGGGGAGGGGGGCTCTCCCAGAATCCGATCCTGGTGCTGTCATCCCTCTCCTCTGCCCCCTCGTCCTCCTCCGTCCGCGAGGGCGTGGATATCGATGCGTTCGCCGCTTTGGGGGCGTCGCCAACTCGGGGGCGACCAGTGGTGGGGGGGGGAGAGAAAAGTGTGTTTCTCGGCCCCTAAAAGCACCCTTACTTCGGGCCTCAAGGGCCCCTGCGAAGGCCCCAGCCCTAAAGGGTCCCATTTCTGCAGCCCCCGCTGCCCCCCCCCCCACATGCATCGCCCCCTCGTTACGCGCTTCATTGCGCGACGCCCAGCGCTTGTGAGCTACCCCCCGGGCGCCCCTCCGTGCAGGGTGCCCTCCCCTCCTTTCCCCCACCCCCCCCAGATTGGCGGCGAGGCTGCTGGGCGCGGCGCTGACGGTGGCCTTGGCGGCTCGGGGCGCGTTCGTCGTCGTCGTCGTCGTCGTCGTCGTCGTCGTCGTTGTCGTCGTCGTCGTCGTCGTCGTCGTCGTCGTCGTCGTCGTCGTCGTCGCCGTCGTCCATGTCGTCGTCGTCGCCGTCGTCCATGTCGTCGTCGTCGTCGTCGCCGCCCTCGTCGTCGTCGGCCATGTAATCCATGTCGTCGTCGCCGTCCATGACGACGTCGTCGTCCATGTCGTCGTCTATGTCGTCCACATCGTCCATGTCGTCATCGTCCATGTCGTCGTCGTCGTCGTCGTTCACGTCGTCGGCTTCGTCGATCAAGGAAGTGCGGGGAGTGGGAGGAGCGGGGGACGGGGGGAGGAGGCGGAAGGAGGCAGGCAGGGAAGGAGGGATGAGAGAGGCTGAGGAAAAAGACCATCCTCCATCCTCCTCCATCCCCTTTCCTTCTATAACTGACTCCTCCCTGTCGCACCCCCAGACGTGTCGGTAAGGCGGGCCGTGCATTTCGCCAGAGAGTTCCTCACCACTTATGATCCTGAAGCTTCAAGCTCGTAACAGCTTCAAGAATGGAGGTGGGGTCGTTTTCAACATGTTAGTTCTCGCCCCAGCGCCGCGCACGCTCGTCTTAAGCAATACCACAGCCTCAAGGATGGAGGGCGGCTCCTTTTCAAAGTGTGGCTCTCGCCTTGGCGCCGCGACATTCGCCTTAGAAGGTGAAGCAGACTCAAGGACGGATGGAATGGTGGTTCAAAACACGTGCCCCTGCAAGCTCGTCTCAAAGCTCTGCAGCAGCTTCGAGGATGGAGGGCGGGGAGGGCGTTTAAAAAATGGGGCTCTCGCCTTGGCGCAGCGCGCACTCGCCGTACAAGTGTGCAACAGCTTCCCGGGTGGACGCGGGCAGTTGTCAGCATGTGTCTCTCGCCTCACGTGGCGCCGCGCGCACGTGCTCGAGCATTGTGCACTGCCTTCACGGGTGGAGGGCGATTTTCCTGTTCAGAGTGGGGCTCTCGCCGCAGCCCCGCGGGCATTCGTTCTCCTGATGCCATATCTCAAAGATTGGGAGACTGCTGCTTTTCACGTGGGGCTCTCGCTCAAGACTTCGTCAGGGTTGAAGACCCGAATCTTCAACACATGGAGCACAGACGGATCAAGGGCGGCTCATGTCTTATCAGGCTGCCCCTTGGGAGC